GCCTCTGCACCAGGGAAGCCCCTTTCCCACTGGGGCTTGGAGGCAGGAAGGGCCTGCAGGCGCGAGGGTCCTGAGGAGGCAGGAGCCGGGGAGGGGGAGTCCGAAGGGCAGCGGGGCCACATGGGCCTTGGGGAGGAGGTCAGCTGGCTTCTAACCAGCCACCTCCTGGGTGGAAAATAAACCCTGGAGTGGGACTGAGGGGTTGTTTTCTTTGGTCCTGGGCTTTGAACCCTGTGCCTCATACTGAGACAGGGTCTCCCTAATCTCTTAAGGACCTTAGACTAGGTTCGAACTCACCATCCTCCTGCCTTAGCCTACCAGAGTGCTGGAATTTTATTTATTTATTTATTTATTTATTTTTTATTTTTGTTTTATTTTTTAGTGTGTGTGGCCAGCTCAGCCCACCAGGGGGCAGGGCTGGCTGGCATGTGGTGCTGGGGGATTGAACCGCAGTCCTTGTGTTTTGCTTAGCTTAGCTTGTTCTAAGTAGGTGCTTTAGACCACTGAGCCATCTCACCAGCCCCTGGAATTTAAATTTAAAAATTATGTGTCTGTGTTGCTGGGGTGGTGACCAGCACACACCTGTAACCCCAGCACTCAGGAGGCTGATGCAGGAGGATCGCTGCAAGCAGGAAACCAGCCTTGGCTGCAGCGTGAGCTCAAGGTCAGCCTGAGCTGCATAGTGAGGCCCTGTCCCAAAAAACAAAAATATGGGGCTGGGGAGATGGCTCAGTAGAGTAAGTGCTTCCCTGGCAAGTGCAAGGACCTGAGTTCAAGCCCCGGTTCGGCCAAAAAATAAAAATAAAAATAAAAATAGCCCCCCAGTAACAGTCAAAATAATAATTGTGTGGAATATGACCACCAGGGGGCGCGCGGGGAGCAGATTATGGCCAGGAGTTCAGAGCTGGTGGAGGAGTCGAGCCTGAGAGGTTTGGATTTCACAGCACAGCTGCCGTGACTCCACCTCACCAGCAAAATCATTACTTTTGTTTTTTTAGACAGCCTCACTATATGCCCAGGCTGGCCTTTGACTCGCAGCAATCCTCCTGCCTCAGCCTCCTGAGTGCTGGGATCATAGGTGTGTGCCACCACGCTTGGTTTTTTCTCTTTTTGGAACCAAAGATTAAACCCAGCGCCTCGCACATGTTAAGCGGGTGCTATACCACAGAGTTACATCCCCAGTTTAATTTTTACCTTTTTCTTTTGAGATAAAGTGTCACTAAATTGCCCAGGCCAGCCTGCAGCTATAGATCTTTCTGTCTCAGTCTTCTGGGTAGCTGGGTTATGGGTCTGTGTGTTCATGCCCAACTCTCTCCTTGGAAAGGCCCTTCTGTTCTTTTATTTACTTATTTTTGTATTTTTAGGGAAGGGTCCACAGGGTGTTCAGTGTCTCACTACTAGATCAGACTCGTAGTGATCTGCCTGTTTATAGCCTCCCAAAAGCTGGGATTGTAGGCGCGTGCCACCACGCCCAGTCTCAATTGCTGTCCCAGCACCCCCCACCCCCTGGGGGCGGGACTGGCATGGCAGGCCCGGGGGTTAAACCCCAGCCCCTGCACCTGCTTGTAGGTGCTTTAATCTGCACAACTATTTGGCAGGCCCTTGTTCTTTTATTTTTAAACTGTTAAAAGACTGACTCAGCTGACTAAACCACCTGCTTAGGCAGACCAGGGACCAGGGTTCGATCCCCCCGCATGCCGTGCCAGCCCTGCCCCTGGAGCATGCTGAGATAGTGATTGAGATTGGGCATGGAGGTACGCACCTATAATCCCAGCACTTGGGAGGCTGAAAACAGGAGGATCACTAGGAGTCTGGGTTGTGCAGTAAGACCCTGTACCAAATACATTACAAATAATAATATTTGAACTTCAGGCAGATGGCAAAAAACCCACCAAAAGCTCTGGATGCGGGTGCTGGGGCACCACCAGCATGACCATTCCCACGTGGAGTGAATTCCGTGCTTCAGCTGGTGCTGTCGGGACAGACCAGGGGCCTCCACCCCAAGAAAAGACTCTCTTGCCAGAGGGCAGTGGGTGCCACCCTGGGGCCACCTTCTGGGGGCCTCAATAGGTGACACTGAAGTAAAGGAGCTGATTCTGTGGCTAGGAATTCAGGCCCCCAAAGGCAAAATCTGAGGTCAGAAAGCAGGGAGGACCTGCCCGTGGGACTTCTGGGACTCGGGTGGCCCCCTGCCTGAATTCACAGAGCAGGAGACAGGGTGGCACCCTTGTGGGTGTTGGGGTGATGGGAGGGAGGAGGAGGTGACATTCACTGCGATGTGACCAGGGCTGCAGTGTCTGTGGAGACGCAGCTCGTGACCATGCTGTCCCCATGCACCCCAGTCACTGGACCGGACACTGGCCCACAGCCAGCTCTCCCCCAAAGTCAAAATAACCATGAAGGCCAGTGCTTTGAATCCACTGGGCCATCGAGGCAGCCTCAACAGCGTCCCTGAAGACCCTATGAAGGAGGACTCTGGAGCCGCGGCCGAAGCGCGCGGATGACAGGACCAGTGAGTCTGACTCCAGATGGGCAGGCAGGGCTGAGGCGACGTGGCCTCCATGAACACACTGAAGCGGAAGTGCAAGCTGTGTCTCCCGGGCCTGCCTCATCCGTGCTCCCCTCAGCACACAGGCTGGGGCGCCCGCCCCACCACGCTCTTCACCCCACAGCGCCCTGCCAAGAACCCAGGCAGCCTGAGTCCCCAGAACGCTGAGCCAGGGCTCCCACACGCCCTCAGTAGTTTAAACAACCCTGGTACCAGCCCTGCAGGGGCTCTGCCCAGATGGATCCTTCCCCGACACTGCAAAACCCCCAAAATGGCCATGTGAGGGGGGCCCAGGGGACCCACAACCACAGCCAAGTCCACACCTGACTCATGGCTGAAAGGGACAGGAATGGAGGAGGGGGGTGTGTGGCCTGCCCAGAAGACCAAGCTGGTCCAGGTCCTACACTGGGGAAGGCAGTGCAAGGCCAGGTCTTTGTCACCAGGCCCGACCAGCTCCCTGGAAGTGGGGACACTTCCAGAAGGACTGTCAGTGGTGAAACACAGAGGCCCTCAGAGTCACTAGGCCCAGGACACTCAGTGTCATCAGAGGACTCCAGGCTGAGGGCCCCCCAGGGGAGGTTGGGGCCTCCCAAGTCATGTGGTCCCTGCCAGGAAGAGCCCTAAACTCCACACATCCATCCCTTCTTGGCACTTGAGGGCTGCCTGCACCGGCCATCACATCCTGGTCCCACATCTCCAGGGTGTGGGTGGAATAAATGACCACGTGCTGCCTGAAGCTCATGGGTGAGGGATAGCTTTAGCATGGGGGGCACGAGTGACTGTGCAGGGACAGGCCAGGACCCGGGGAAGGGTGGCAGGAGAGTCTGCCTTCATTCCTTCCTCGATTTCTCTTCAGTGTGGGTAGAGCCTCTCATTCTTCCCTGGGATTAAGGAAGTGCCTGGTGAGGCTGGGAAAGGAAGGGCCTTGTAGGCTCCTCAGGGCCGCTGTGCAGCATCTGCTCCCCGCCACGCACCTTGGCCTCCTGTTGAGAGAGGAGCCCCGTGCAGCGCAGCACATGGTGTCTGCGAGGCTCCGAGGGCGAAGGAAATGAGCGCTGAGGCATGGCGCGGTGCCCGGTGCAAGGTGAGCGCTTAGCCACGTTAGCTCCTTCTGTAGCAGTTTTGTCGCTGTTTAGGAGCCTGCAGGCACCACACCCATGACCCCCATGCCTCAGCCTCTGGAGGGCCAGCGCTACAGACAGGGACCTCAGCGCTGGGTATAGGTGCTGCTCCGTGACGCCTCCCAGGTGCCTTTGCATGCAGGAGACGAGATGTAAAGCTTATTGAAATTCTTTGTCATTTTCTTTCCTACAGTGCTGGGGGTGGGATCCAGAGTTTCCTATCAAAGCGTTGCTTCGTTCCCCAAGGCAGGGTTGCCTCGGTCTCCCTGGTGCAGTGCCTCCCCTGGGCAGAAGTGTGGTTCAGCCTCCTGTGGCCGTGGGCAGCGCAATGGGCACCTTGCATTCCACTGACTGCCGCCTTCCTGGAATTGTAGCCGCGGGCTTCAGGGTATAGCAGGAAGTCGGGATCCTCACAGTTAGAACGCCAGGCGCTCGGAGCCTGGTCCTCACACCCCTTTTTAAATTGGGAATAAAGGGGTTGAGCCTCAGGCCTGGCAGAGCTGCTCAGCACCCCACTGCTGAGCCCCCCATCACCCCAACTCTAAGCATTTCCAAAGCTTCTTGCAAATTTGCTCCGGCAGGTCTCAAACTCTCCATGCTCCTGCCTCAGCCTCCAAGCAGCTGGGATTGTAGACGCCCAGCTTGCATGTATGATTTGGATGCCGACTGCTCTCCTCCCTGCCCACTGCCCACTGGAGTGGCCACGATCCGCCCCCGTGCTCCCCAGACTGCCTTGTGGTCAGCTGCTCACAGCCACCAGGCAGCCTCCAGCCCCAGACCTTGGCACCTGCTGCCCCCAGGATGTGCCTCCCTTAATCTTTCCTCTGGGTTGATATTTTAACATCTTCCTTAAATGCCCTGTGGGAGGGATGTGGCGTTGGCAGAGGCAGGTGACCTGCCAGGCACAGGTGACTGTGTCAGTGGTAGACAGTGCCTTGTCCAGGTCAGAAATCACCTCTGTGGATGGCTGGGGACAGCTGGCACCTGGCGCCCTCTGGTGGCCTCTCTGGAAAACGCAGCCTCTTCTGCCCACGGTGTAGGCTGGGCTTGATCTTGGGATCCTCCTGCTTCAGCCTCCAGGGTGCTGGAATTCCCAGTAGGTGCCACTATGTCTGTTTGGGGACTGTGGCTCTTGATGATAAATAATCCATGGAAGACGCCAAGCTCGGGGCCGCCTGATGGGGTTGTTATGATGACCACTGTCCACCCAGATCCTGCCAGGTGCCCCATCCACCTGGGCATGCTTTCTCCTTCACCCCGTACTCCAGGCTGCACCTCAGACCCTGCTGGGTGCCCCTGGAAACACCAGTGCCTCCCCCAGCCGAACCAAAGAAGCCAGACACAGCACTGGGTGTTTTTAATTCTAAAGTGGACTTGTGTCTGTTTGTCATCTGAATGTCCTTAGGGCCCAGGCGACAGCCCACTGGGACCCAGGCTATGAAGCAGAGTCCTAGGTCACCCAGATGTTCCAGATTTTGGCCCAAGAGCTGCTTCCACCGGGCAATCAGTGATCTTTGGTCCCTGCTTCTGGAAGGGACAGATCCACGCTGGCTCAGTGGTGAACCAAGATGCATGCAGGGTAGATGTCAAGGCTGGGTCACGTGATGGCCCAGCCTGGGGCAGGGCGAGGTGGGAGCCGGGCCGGTCAGTCGGACAGCACAGCTGTGTCAGCAGGGATCACACCGCCTGCCACCTGCTCCACCGCCTCCACCCAGCGGCCCTGAAGCTCCTCTGTCTCAGCCCTGAACGTGAACAGCTGGCCCGACTGCCGCAGCTGGAAGGCGCGAGGGTCCCCCTGCGGCGCAGCTGTCACCTGGTAGCCCAGCAGCGGAATGGAGGTGAGTGCCCGCACGTCCTGGGGGAGAGAGCAGAGCAGCTGCCCAACGGGGGCTTTGGGCTGTGGCCCCTGGCCTCTATTATTTATGTACAGAAAGGGTCTGCTTAAGTGGTCAAGTGGCCCAGGCTGGGCCCAAGCTTGGGATCCTCCTGCCTCAGCCTCCCCAAGTACTAGGGTTACAGGTATGTATCACTATACCTGGCTTAATTAAAGGCAGCTTCAGGGCTGCTCGCCCCCAAACCCTGAAGGTGGGCAGTTGGCGAAGGGACTGGAGGGGTGAACCCACCTCCCACATGGCTCTGCAAGCCCCTAAACCTGTCTTCCGGGGCCTCAGTTTCCCCGCCTGACAGGACCAGGGGGTACACGGAGGACGGGTGTTACCTGTGGGGCTGCGTAGACATAGAGCACGAGGGGGTCATCCCGAGGGATCACGCACCAGCTGCGGCTGCCACTCCGACCCCACCTGTCCCCAAGCAGCTGCAGGAAGCCGCTCATCACGCTGCCCTCAGGCCCAGCTGCAGCTCCTTTCTGAGTCAGAAGGGGACAGAGCAATGTGTGGGGTTGGGGTGACCACAGCAGGGCAGAGGGTGGCCAGGGCGGGCGGCCTGAAACAGGCTGGCACTTTCCCCATCTCTAGCATCCACCTATCCTTGAAGGGGGCTGTGCTGGTAGCCAGTGCCTGGGCCCACAATGGATATGGGATTTGGGGTGCACTGTGGGGCCCCCAGAGCTGCACAGGTGGCCCTGAGTCATTGTGTGTCAGCTGTCTGGACCTGGGTCTCCTTGGAAAAGCACAAGCAAGCTGGAGTCTGCAATCTGCCTGCCCGGAGCCTCTGTCCCCTCCTGTGACGGCGCCAGGCCACAGGGCGCAGGTGGTCACGCCTCCACCGGTGGGCAGAAGAGTCTGTTTGACAGCATGTGGCTGGTAGGCTGCCTCCATGTGGGGACAGGCCCTGTCCTGTCAGGCCTTGGCAGGGCTCGGGGCTTGGGCCTGAGGGCAGAGATGGGGGACTGGGATGATGCGCGTCCCCTTCACAGCCTCACCTGCAGGATGCCCCGCCTCCGGTCCTCACGGTCCTCAGGAAGCACGCGGCCGGTCAGGAAGGTGTAGCACGCTGTGCACACGCGGTGCGGCTGGCCCGGGTCATACTGCAGCTCAGCGCGGTAGTCGGAACAGCGGGCACAGACGACCTGCGGGGACTCCGGCCTAAGGTGCTGCCAGGCGAGGTCGGCACCCGGCCAGGAGGAAGGAGGAACAGCCCGCAGAGGTACCGCATGGCTGGCCCTGTGCTGGCCGAGGTCACTGCAAGAGCTGCTTCCCTCTGCCCACCCTGTCCCTCGTAGCTACCCAGCTGGCATTTGCAGGTGTCGCTCAGCCAGGAGAGAGGCTGGCTGCCCGGTCAGCTGGTGGGGAGAGAGGCAGCGGAGGGAGGAGGCACCGCCCAGCACCGCCCCACCCTCCAGGTACCCGTGGGGCAGGCGGGGGAGACAGAAACTGGCACCCAGGTCACTGGGACGGTGACTCAGCAGCAGCCAGGGCCCGGAGCTGCGAGAGTGGAGGTCACAGGGCAGGGGCAGGCTCGTCACTGGGTGTGGGCTGGGGACAAAGCCAGGGCTTCCTGCAGCCAGGCAAGTGCCCCGCTGAGGTCCCTCCCCAGGCCCACACAGTTTTTAAATTGAGAAATAGAAATTAATATAGGGAATAAATGCTCATTTTTCTCTCCTGCCTCTACATTTATTATTACTATTATTATTGTTGTTGTAGGTCTTATGAAATAATGGGCTCACTGTACAGTTCAGGCTGGCTATGAGCTCCCTTGGTAGCCCAGGCTGGTCTTGAGCTTACAATGACCCTCCTGCCTCAGCCTCTTGAGTGCTGGGATGACATATGTGCCACCATGCCCGGTTCACACAGTGGTTTTTAATAAGTCACAGGAGCTGCTTACAAAGTTGGGAGCATGAACGGGCACAAGGCCCCGGCCACCCGCGAGGGCCGTCTTCCTTACAGATGTGGAGACAGTAGGTGACTCGGGGGCGTAACTGTCACTTGCATCTAGATGCAAGGGTGCCCTGGGTCATGTATGTCCCACTGCAGTGAAACACAGCTGGGGACACCTCCTGTCGCTGGGGACATAGCACAGAACCCCTTGGGTGCCCTGTGGAGGGCTTGCAGGGACAGGCGCAGTACTCACGTAGCCGCAGGCTCGGCAGTGGTGGCGCCGGCGCGTCAGCGCGTTGAAGGGTTCCTGGCAGCGCATACACATGGTCACCATCTTGTCGCGAACCCATTGTGGGGCCCGGAGGCCCAGCTCCTCGGACGGCAGCTAAGGGGGGAGAGGGGGAGGGGGCGTGGCCTAAGCCTGTGTTCCCTCCCCACCTCACCCTCGGGGAGGCCACTGCCGCCCCTGCACTGCCTTGGGAGTCCCACTCCCCGTACCTCGTGCTCCTGGGCGGCGCCTTCTGGCCCCTGGGATGCAGCCCTGAAGGTCTCGCTCCTCCTCTCGAGGTGGTCGACGGCCGCCTGGCAGGCCTGGGGCACAGGGTTGGGTGTTGGCGAAGATGTATGGGCATCTTTTTCACGTCCACCCAACCGGCGCCCCACAGTCACTGTCTGTAGCTCCAGGGTGGCCCTGGGTCCCGGGCACGTGCCAACCCGGAGAGGATGGGGGACGCACCAGGCAGGGCCTGAGTGCGTGCCAACCCAGCCATGTGGGGGGTGGGGTGGCTGGCCGTACCTGCATCCAGGACAGCATCTCCTCCTGGGACCTGCGGGAGGCACTGTGTGAGGCCGGTGGGCTGTGGAGTACTCGTCCCAGAGTCCCTGGTGTCCCCGCGTCCCCACCTACCGGGCCTGCAGCTCCAGCGTGCGCTGCCTTCCTGACACCAGGAAGCAGTGTGGGAACTCAGAGTCTGGCAGCGGCCGCACCTGCAGGGTCAGGGTGGAAGGGAGGGCGGTGCCCGTCAGCCTGGCACCCAGGGACCAGTCACATTGGTGCACAGGGACAGGGAGTGCGTGGCCTGGTGGCTGGGACCTGGTGGTTCCTCTTGGGGCTGGTGAGATGGCTCAGTGGTCTAAAGCACCTACTTAGAACAAGCTTAGCAAACCACAGGGACCGCGGTTCAATCCCCCAGCACCACATGCCAGCCAGCCCCGCCCCCTGGTGGGCTGAGCTGGCCACACACACACACACACACACACACACACAAATAAATAAATAAATAAATAAAAATTAAAAAAAAAAAGAAAGAAAGAAAAGGGTTCCTCGGCCAGAGAGATAGCTTTGTGGCATAGGCACCTGCATGGCAAACACAAGGTGCTGAGTTCAATCCCTGGTACCAAAAAAAAAAAAAAAAAAAAAAAAAAAAGTGTTCTTCAGGGAGGTTGGGCTGTACTGCCATGCCTTGGATACCCAGGAGGGGGCGCTGGGCGGCCGCTAGAACAGGAACCACATCCCCCAGGAAGGCCCAGAGATTCTTCTTGGTGTTGGGCTCAAACCCTGGGCCTGGTATCCACTGCAGGCCCTTTTTTTTTTGGTGGAACTGGGGATTGAACTCAGACCCTTGAGCTTTCCAGGGAAGCGCTTATTCTACTGAGCCATCTCCCCAGCCCCCTCATCTAGTCTTGAGCTGGCAATCCTCCTGCCTCTGCTTCCCAGGGTACTGGGATGAATACCATGCATGCAGCTTCAGGACAGGGAGGGAGGCTCCAGGTGGGGGCCTCGGCCTCCACAACCCTGAGGCTGCCCCACACTGGCTGCCTCTGGAGGGACCAGGGCCCCAGAGAGTCAGGGCTGGGGGACAGGGATGAGGGGCGAGGCGCTGCTATTGGGCCAGGCCTGTGGACATGGACACACTGGGCTTGGTGCAGAATCCCGGTTGGGGCAGACCCTGGGCTGCAGCCCCAGCTGCAGTTGGGCTCAAACCCTATCATGGTGTGGCCCCAAGCAAGCAGAGTCCCAAGGGCCCTTTGGCTCTGAACGCTAGGGGGGACGCTCGCACGGCTGGAGCGTGCAACCTGCCACCTTCCCTTCGTGAGTGATGGCCCCAGGGTAGGCAGTGTGGGGCCATTCCACAGGCTTCGAAGTATCTTAATTTGTGATACTGGGACTTGAACCCAGGCCCTTTGCACTGAGCTACATCTCTAGCCCCTTTTTGAGACAGGGTTTTGCTAAATAGATAAGCTGCCCAGACCAGCCTCTAACTGGAGATCCTCCTGCCTCAGCCCCTTGGCTTGCTGGAATTACAGGTGTGTACAACTGTACCCAGCTAAAATTATTTCTAAAAGATTACAAAAGAAAAGGGCTGGTGAGATAGCTCAGCAGAGTAAGCACCTGCTTAGGCAAGTGTAAGGACCAGGGTTCAATCTTTAGCACCACATACTGTGCTGGCCACTGAGTCCGGGTGTCGTGGCATATGCCTGTAATACCAATCCTGGGGAGGCTAAAAACAGGAGGATCACTACAAGTCTGAGCTGCATAGGGAGACTCTGTACCAAATACATTAAAAAAAAAAAAAATCCCCAAGTCCCCAGGAAATAGCACAGCCCTCCACTGAGGCCAGTGGGAGGCTCTGAGGGGAGGGTGCAGTCAGTGGGCACCATGACAGCCTTGTCCCCATCCTGGCTCAGGAGTCTGTGAGCTGCCCAATGGGGACCCCTCTGCCGCCCACGCCCCAGTCCTGGGCAGCGTGGCACAGGACCCACCTTCATCCCTGACACGTCGATGCGGGTCCGCACCTGGAACTGGGCACCCACCTGCAGGACCCGGGGTATGCAGTACAGCAGCATGTTGTTGAACTGTGGGGGACATGGGGTGATCCAGGCACCATGTCCCCTCCTGCACTGCCAGGACAGCTCACGAGCTCCCACGTGACAGGAGGGGCAGAGGATAGGAGGTGAGGAACCACCAGACTGCCCCAGGACTCAGGAACCGGGGCTGATGGAGATGCAGGCCTCCGAGTGGGACTCCTTCCGGACCTCAGGGGAGCCTCTGGCTTTTGGGGGTGACTCCGGCCTGTTTTGGCCTGGCCTGGGCACCATGGCCTGGGCACCCTACCAAGAAGAGGTAGCGCTCCATGGGGTCACGGCGGCGAGACGAGATCTTGAGCACCGGGCCCTCGCGGAGCAGCGCGTTGGAGGGGTCCACGATGTCGTCGTCCAGGCCCAGGCGTTGGTACACGGCCCACAGGTCCTGCAGCCGCTCCTGGGGGCGGTGGGGGCACCCTCAGCCAGAGCCTGGGCCTGGAGGGCGGGCCCGGGCTGGTAGGACCCTCACCATCTCGGCGATGGCGGCGTTGGCATGCTGGGCGGCTGCAGAGATCACGTCCAGGGCCCCTGGAGACCACAGCCCAGTTCAGGCCGGTCAGGCAGGTGGAGATGGCGGGGCGGCCTGCTGGGGACCCTCAAGCCACCCACGGGACCTTGGCGACCCACTGCTTCTGAGGGGGCCTCGAGCGTAGCGTCCGCCGGGTCCTCCCGAGCATGGGACTCGCGCGGGCCGCGCCTCCCCGGGCCCAGTGCCCCTCCCCGGTGACCGCAGCGCGGGTCGCGCCTCACCCTGCGCGTCTGGCCGGTCGGCGGCGCCGGGCGGCAGCTTGCGCTCGTACTCGCGCAGCAGCAGCTCGTAGCGCGGGATGCGCTGCACCGGCTCCAGCAGGTGGTGCTGCAGCGTCAGGCCGGCCGAGGCCTCGCTGCTCTGGGGCGCAAGCGGGAGACCGAAGGGCGGTTGGGGGTGTGGGGCGCCCTCAGGGCAGGGCCCACGTCCGAGCGCCTCCCGCCCGCCCCGCCGTGCACCTGGATGCGGGCGATGACCTCCTGGAAGGGCGGCGACTTCTCCGCCCAGGTGGCCAGCAGCTCGGCGGCCCGATCGAAGTTCTTCACGTACTCGCCGTACATCTTCAGGAAAGGGGCCAGCTTCTGGATCACGTCCCCGATGCGGGGCGTGGCCGTCCTGGGGGTGACCAGGGCAGGGAAGTGCTCAGCGTGGCTGCCTCTCGGACCCCAGGCGGGGCTGGGGCCAGCTGGGCTCTCTGCACCCCTAAGCTTGCAGATAAAGGCCTCATCCCGAATTCCTGACCAGGAGCCCCTCCCGGCCCAGCCCAGCAGGACGTGGCCTGGATGGGCCAGGCCAGGTGTCACAGACACAATGCCCGCACCTTGGAGGCTGAGGCAGGAGGACTGCTGAGCTCTCACAAAGCAGACCCAGTCTTCTTTTTTTAAAAAATGTATTTAGTCCAGGGTCTACAGGGCCTCACTGCACGGATCAGACTCAGTGATGTTCCTGTTTTCAGCCTCCCAAGTGCTGGGATTACAGACACTTGCTACCATGCTCAGTCTCAATGGCTGTCTCAGCGCCCCCTGGGGACAGGGCCCGCACAGCGCAAGGGATCAAATCCTGACTAGACCCAGTCTTGAAAGAAAACAACCCAGAGCTGGCCTCCTGTCTAAACTGCGTTCCCAACCACCAATGACTGTAGCTGCGCTCTCTGCGCCACAGCAGCAGCGGCGGGAGGTGATCTCCTGAACCGCGGTCCCTGTGCTTTGCTAAGCTTGTTCTAAGTAGGTGCTTTAGACCACTGAGCCATCTCTCCAGCCCCCCCTCCCTGTTTTTAAAAGTTTATTATGAGCAGATCTAAGCAATGACAAGCAGAAAGAACCTAGCAGTGGACCTCTCAGATAGCTGTTTCTTTCTTTC